TCTCAAATAAAAGCCATCAGTATGCCAATCTATATATAGATGTCTCTATAGTGAGGATTTATCATTTATCTCTTAAGGTAATTACGCAAATTGCATTCAGCCTACATACCCTGAGTTGGGAAGATGGTTTTTGTCTTTTTCCTCATTTATAATTTCATCTAGATTGAGCTGAGCAAGATTCAGGATGGGCAGGTGGACCCTGGTGGTCCTTTTGCAGAAGAGAATCTAGTTTCCTCCTTAGGGTCTCTTTTCCTTAACAAGGCTGTGCACAAAACACTCAGCTCATTCCCAGAGCTTCTGCTCTGTCTCCCCTCGGGAGATCTCAACAAATACGGAAAAACAGCTTCAAACAATGGAAGGCCCATCCCGTTTTGCTGTTTCTTCTTCATGCTTCCTCATTTTCAAACCTGCGTCCTCCTTTCGCGTGCCCATAGCAAACTCCTTTCCTCGAGCTGTACTGGTGAAGCTACACAAGAAACATCCTACAAAAATTAACCTTGGACCATCTATTATTTTCCCAAGGACCGAGACACAGGAGGACAAGGCTGGACCCGGGAAAAGATGGCTCCTGCGCAAAGGCAGCAAGTAGAGAATGAGCAACAGAGAAGTTTCTCGCTCAGGGAAATTCATCCTCCTGCTCTTGACTCTGCTGGGCTGAATCACTCGCAAATGTCAATCTTTATGTCTTAGGAGATCTGATCAGGGTTTAGCCAGGCTGATTGTAACAGACAACCTCTGGATGCCAGCACTCGAGGGCACATACTCCAAATGAAAATAGCCCAGTCTCCTTTGTTGAGCAAATGTAAATTGTCATAGCTGCACACTGGCTTCGGAGCCACAGGTGGAAGGCGGGAGGAGAGCCGCACAGAGCTCCCAGCGGCCGGTCACAGCACCGTCTTCAGAGAGCACCTGCACACACCCATGGGCACACATTCAACCCGCAGGCTGTGGGTTCTGCTAATGTGTCCTTCCCTCCCCTCCTCCCAGCCTCACCTTGCTCACTTTCCCTTTCCCCACCCCCAGCCCTTGGCCCACACAATGAGATTTTTGTTTGCTTCAGCAGCATGTGACAGTAGAGTCCCTGCTTTGCCTAACTCGGGGCTGCAGTCTCTCGGGTAACAGGTGGCAACTTCCCCTGTTGGATGGTAGGTATAAAAAAGGATGACCTCATAGGGGTGGAGCTGGGGACTCCAGGTAGCAGTCACAGACAGGTAACCTTGCTGTGAGGCTGTGTAGTTAGAAGGGGGCAGTTAAATGCCAAGGCTCACCTGAGGCACTTGAGCAACCAGCCGTGGCCTGTGAACCTCACAACTTGGTCTCACTGCCTCAGATGGAGCCCAGAGAAGCCCCTGGGAAGGAAAACATGGGAAGCAAGAGAAAGAACCTGACCTTCTTGAGACCCAGGCTGTATATGCTGGAGAGGAGGAAGACGGACACTGTGGTGGACGGCAGTGTCTCTGGGGACCACTCTGGCACCTTGAGGAGGAGCCAGTCTGACAGGACCGAATACAACCAGAAACTACAAGGTAACCAAAGAAAAAGCAGCTGCCGCAGGTGGCTCCCTGCCAGGTCTGTTTCAACTGGTTCCCATTTGCAGAGACACTTGAGGCAGAGGAGAAAATCAAATGGCAACGTTCCCTTCTTACAAAACAAGAAAATGAAATTGCGAGGGACCCGTGAGATAGATAGAAAGATTTTATGGTGTAGATCAATGGCTAAAGAGCCTTCTCTGAAATTTTCTTAATACCATTCAATTTTCTCTGGTGAGAGTAATATTTTTTTCCTCTGCCTTCCTTGTTCCTCCTCTTTTCCCCCTCTCCACTTAGAAAGGGGGAAGGATTGCTGCACATGTGATTTAAAATCTACAAAAAGCAGTTTATCCTGGTAGGTGGCTGTGAGATGTCACACCATGAGCGCTAGTTAGGAAACTGTACTAAACCATGATTGAAACGTACCTTAAACAGGGACGTGAAACTATAATCATGTCTGTGAAAAAAATGAGTAATGTTATAGTCAGTGGGATGCTCTGAAAGAACGCCGGAAAAATCACTTCAAGGAGCATGCCATTGGAGTTGACTGAATAGCATCCAAACAGGGCAGAGCTGTTCCCGCACACTTACACTGAGTGACTACTGAGGAAACAACCACTTTATTTTGTGATGGTGGTAAGATAATTTGGAACAGTTATTATAACACATCTTCTGTCTCTGGCCCTGGATTCCTAGCTCCTTCCGACTACCCTTCCTCCTAAAGGACATTTGCTCCCCTAAGACTTCATGTGGTGTGACAGCATGCAGAGTTTTGTCTCCACAGCTGCACCTGTCATGTGAGCCTCCAGATCCCGTCTCTCCTGTTTCGTGCACAGTGCAGGCATGAACTCCCCTCTTCCCACTGTGACTTGCCATTTTAGATGTTAAAACTGCAACAGCATTAAAAGACCAATGGGACACACTTGTTAGCAGAATGCTCTCCTCAGAAACAAGCTTAGACTTGATTATGCAAATTAATCACCCCAAATGCATTTAAATTAAATGTTTAAAAGCTCTAACTAGGGTGTAAAACTTTTTTAAAATTCTGTATGTTCAACACTAAATTGCAGTGTCAGTCTTTATCCTTAAAGAAGTTATTTTTGATGAGGGAGGAATAGTATTTGATCCTTCGAGGCAATGTTGGAAAGAATGCCAATTTTAGTCATGCATACTTGGTTTCCAATTATGACTTCAACTGACAACATACAAGAGTTTGAAGAAAATGTCTTAAAATTTCTGCGCTCCAACTTTCTTATTTTTGAATGTGAGATTAATGATATCTACCACATAGTGTTGAAGATTGAATTAGACATCTTCAACTGACAACATACAAGAGTTTGAAGAAAATGTCTTAAAATTTCTGAGCTCCAACTTTCTTATTTTTGAATGTGAGATTAATGATACCTACCACATAGTGTTGAAGATTGAATTAGACAATGACACAAATCTCTAGTACCTTGGCTGACAGATACTATATGCTCTATAAATAATGATAGCAGTTATTTTCAATTTTAAGAATGAGTACCATACTAAGAGGTCAAGCTGAATATTCATCCAAACTTACATATCTTTTGTTTTTCAACTTTTTGTTCCTTGATAAAGATAGAGCATACATGAATTCAGAAGTTCACCACATTATTTCCAACGATGTTTCTCCCGTCACTTTCACTAAGTCAGCATCCTTCTGCTTCAGACTTTCCACCAGCAAAATAAATTAGAAATAATTTTGGAATTTATTAGGTTTTACTCTTCTCTTCCTAACTGTATCCAGAAAAATAGGCAGGTGGCCACGAAACACAGTGGGCGTTTGTTAGCTTTGTAGAAGTCCTCAGACCGATTGCACACTTCGTTTGGTTTGTGCGTTTTCTCTGTTCTGTTGGATTTTTGTCTATGAAAGTGGAAAAATTCAGAATTCACCCAGGTTCCTAGAAATACTTGGGAAAAAAAAAGTCACCAGAGAGTGTAGAAGATCCCATCAGAACTATAACTTTGCTGGACTCCTGAGAAGAAACATGTTTAGCTGTAACCAGTAAAACCTAAATTCTAAAGCCTAAGGGGACTTTCATGATTCATTTACAACAGAAGCCTCAGTGGCAATGGGAGTCATTTCCTCCACTATGCTCAAGGCAGACAGCTTGGGTTTTCGGTCTGGTTTCTTCAATGCCCACGTGAACTGTGGTCAGATGTTTCCTAAATCTCTTCCTTGTTGAAATGGCAAAGGTTTTGTTCCTATCTTTGTTGGAACCAGTAGCCCCCACGAGGCATTAAAAAAGATGACCTGAACTGGATAGAGCCTTGGAAAGATGGTCCAAAGACATTGTGAGGTCAGAATGCTTTCGAAGACTGGAATTTCCAGTACTTCTACCGTTCTCAATTCATCCAGTCTGTTGTTTTTAGTGCTGTGTTGTTATTTGAGCAATTCACTGTTCTAGTTCTCTGTGGAAGCCAGCTCGTTGGTTCTGAAAAAGTAGACCTCTCTTCAGTGTCTGAGTTTGCCCTGTAATCCACACTAGAGAGTCTACCCAGCTCGTTGGTTCTGAAAAAGTAGACCTCTCTTCAGTGTCTGAGTTTGCCCTGTAACCCACACTAGAGAGTCTACCTGTTGTTGTTTTTATTTTTTGAATTTTTAATAACATTTTAGCAAATTGAATTTTAAGTTGCCATCATAATTTTTGGAAAATGATGCTTTGCCTAAGAGCTTCCAGATGCCTAAGTTGCACCCCAGCTTTAGGGGTGCAGCAGAAAACACCCCTAAAGATGGTATTCTAATGACTGTGCAGAGGTCGTCTTCCCAGCCGTTACTCCTGATACGATTTCCGTTGTGCAGATAGCTGAATGCTGACCCAGTGCTGGCTTTCTTTACTTCTGCAGCTGATTATTGAGTGACTCAGTATTGGTCGTATACATTATTTGTCATGTCTTGTCTTAGTTAATGTTGAGCCAAATCACAAGGATAACATAACAAAAACAACAACAAACAAAAAACCCCACACATTTCACTCCTCAAAGCCTTGAAGCCTGCTTGGGAAAGATAAGAAAGGTAAACAAACAGATGCAAAAGAGTGGCTGGATGGAAGTAGGGGCTGGATCAAGGGTTCAGAACAGTCACTGGGTGGAGGAAGCTTTATGGCCTCTAGGACTCGATAAGCTGGAGATAGGGAGAAAGTACAGATAGGAAATGGGTATCTTAACTTCTTCCCTATACTTCATCTGAAATATATAATCCTTCCTTATTGCTTACACTGACTCTCATTCCCCTCCAATTTCTCCACTACCCATACTCCATGACAGAGACTTGCTTTGTTAATTGTTCCATTTCTGCAAATAGAGCCAGGCCCAGCACAAATTATTCTTCAATATTATCAAACTATTCAGTAACTATTCAACAGAACAAATGATTTGAATGATCTGGTTCATGCAGAGAAAGGAAGTGAGCAGACACCAAACCCTGAATAAAGCTTAGGTATGGGTGTGTGCCTTCATACGGGAGGAAACATACCTCCAGCAATAAATAGGATTGTTGATTAAAACAAAACACGCAGATGTCCAGAATTGCATACACACATAAAGACTACATTTTATTGGAGGCCTGTCTCATTTCTCATTCTGCCCTGTAGAGCAGAGGGACCCATGCCTTAGTTCACTCTTCTCCCATTCATTATAACCATACATCACACCACCTTTGGAGTTAGCTGAGTTCCTTATTCCCATTCTACTGAGGGCCTTAGAGACGAAACAAATGGGAAGCTTAAGGACTGAGGTGTAAAAATTTAGGATTTCATATATGATTACCTGTATAACCCTATTTTTGAATTATGCATGACTTGGTCATATATGTCTGCATAGGTAGCTATCTAAGTATAGAACACATAGACATATGCGTGTCCTCAAGATATTTCTTCACTGCTTAAGCTTTTCATGAAAATGTTAGTGACAGATTCAGCAGTCCTATCTCAAACCATAATGAATGATATTACTGATACAATTTTCACTTCTCAGACCACACGTTTATACACACGAATCTACATATATACACTAATACTAAAAATGGTGATATTTGAAAATGAGGTCTTTGGGAAGTAATTAGATCTTGGACAAAACCCTAGTAAATGGGTTCTTCAAGAACTTGCTTCTCTCTCTGCAGCCATTAGTAGAGACACCTGTAAACCAGGAAGCAGGCCCCATCAGAAATTGGGTCTGCTGGGAATTTGACTTTGGATGTCATAGGCAGTAGAAGGGTGAGAAAGAAAAGCTTGTCACTTACGCTGCACAGTCCATAATACATTCTTAGAGAATCTAGAACTGATCAATAGTGGGTCAGTTTGTTTTCACCCTCTGGTTAGTTTTCTGGTTGCTAAATATTTTTGTTAATGAAGCACTTTCTGAGAATGGTAAATAGATAAGATGCCATTACCCTTTGGGAGTAAATAGATAACATGCCATTATCCTTGCTAATAGGTGTCAAAACTGCATCTCACTCCCTTCCTTCTTTTATTACATTTCCTTCCTTCTTCAGAAAAGAAAGTTTCCTTAGCATTGAGAAAGAACTGGTAGGTTTTTTGAGGAAATCCTAAGGTTTTGGTACTCTGGTGTTAACAGACAAACTTCCTAAGGCACATACTTCATACAGATTGTAAAATACGAGGACACATGACTCAACTGAAAAGTTGGACTTGGCCAAATCATGAACCTATTTAATGCATCGAGTTTGTGAAGAATGATCCCTAAGTGTGTGGGGGCTGTTCACACTGAAAGACTTGTGATTGGTTTGCTCCAGGCCTAATGAAGGAGCCATAAAAGGAAAGGTGAACCTTCCTATGTGTTCTATCATGGAGCCCTTCCTGTTCCTGTCTGATCCTTCTCCTGCCTCCAAACACCATTTACTAAAGAGAACTAGGAACCTGACACCTTCAAAATAGGTGTGTAATTGTTTGAAGGGCAAACATTTAAAAGAAAGTCTAGCTGCTTTCAGTAGTTTCTGTCTCATTCATGCATAA